TGTTTTGCTCCTTTCACTATGGAAACCAATCATCATGACTCTACGTTGTATAAGCATGTCTCTGGACGAAGATTGGTTCCTTGGCCGTACCAGGCATCTTGCATGCATACTCGTTGCACACATTGTCGGATTTCAAACTCTGACCACTAGGACTGTTTCTTCTTTCCTGCTTCCAAAGTGGCTTGCTCGCAATTTTCACTCTTTTTTTTTTTTTTTTTTTTATAAATAAAGCAGTGCGATTCTCACTCTTTTCATCCTTTGGAACAGACAATTCTCAAGCTCCATCCGTGAGACCTGATGATGTGGCTACACTTGTTTATACCTCTGGTACAACTGGTAACCCAAAAGGAGTCATGCTCACACATGAGAACTTGCTCCACCAGGTAGGCATTGTTCTTCTGCCTCTCCATTGCATTGTGCTACTTACGATTTACGATTTTGCTATTTAGTACTTACGTTTTATGGATAATTTACCACTATTTGGTATTTACAGTTAACTACTATTGAGGTTTATCTTGATGCAACCCCCCTGTAGCACAATGGTTTGAAGTTTGAACCCGTCGTGTCTTCATCAGCAGTTATGGCGATTGTGTAGTACTGTGTACCATTTGCTAACTTCAACTAAGTCCCCCCGACTCCGAAGAATCTACGTCTAGACCTACAGTGAACATGTGATGCCTTTCTCCATGAATTTTCTCCATGGTATGGACTGTACCTTCGACTTTCCTGACGGCTTACCCTACGGCGCTTGTGATGCCATTTGCACAAGCACTAAGAGGTGGCAAAAGTTGCTTCGCGTCCAGAGGGAGATCTATTGGAAACATACGATATCTGACAGCTACATGTAGGTACAACAATTATTGGACTCAGGGTCTCGCAAGCTTAATAATGGAGATAAACAATGCTGACAGCTCACGAATGTGACTTGACTTGGCAGTGGAATAGGAACCGGAGTGACGCTCGGACCCCGAGGGAGCCAGTCGTGTTTCTTTTCCTGTATGAAATTATGAATCTGTACCAACAACAACAAAAAAAAAGGACGACAGTCTTAAGATATCATCGTGAAACTGACCAGCCCTAGGTAATTCAGGAATTTCGTTCATCTCTGGTTCCAGCGGGATTCGAACTCACGTCTGCATTTTAAGTTTTAACTTTAAGTTTTAACAGTTTATGGGTATACCAACTGAGCTAAGCCCGTTGGTAATACTATACGGAAAAATAAAAAAAGTAAAAAAAGTGTAAAAAACTAGTCTGAGCCTGGAATTTTTCCTGACTGATTTGGACCATCCCAGAGAAAGTCAATACTCAGCCTCTCGATCTGAGCGGAAATGCAAAGAGTCAAAAGTGTGGCAGTCCAAACAGCACCTCAGCCACCACTGACAATAGTCAGCAATAGAATTGTCATCAAAACACGCAGTAAAAGTGAGTAAACCCAACCATCCCACATTACACACTAATGGTGGATAATTGTATCTTTTCAAAGTGCTCAAAACCACTCCATAGGTAAGAAATAAGATCGTGGCATTTATAAGAAAATTTTGTGGAGCGAGGGCTCCAAAATCATTGTCAAAAAACTTGGCTATCTTCTCTTTTTCGGTCGGGTGGATTGGTGCCTCGGCGCCACCGTTCTTGTCCACCTCATACCCGTCATAGTGGCATTTATAAGAAAGTTTTCTGGGGAGATGTCTCCGAAATCATTATAAAAAAACTTGGCGATCTTCTCTTTTTCGGTCGGGTGGATTGCTGCCTTGGCGCCACCGTTCTTGTCCACCTCAGACCCGCCAATGATCAATGCACATCGCTGTTTCCAAATTGTCTACAGTGTGCACCTCCTTCGTATCAGATACCACGTCTTTCCCTGGTCCTTGTAGGCTATAGGAAATCATAGTCTATTTTGAAATCTGATGGATACATTTATTGAATATGAGTTTGAGTGAGCCCCCATTTCTTTTTTTCCTTTCCTTCTTTTCTTTTCGTTTTGCATCTTTCCTTTTTTCTGCCCCTTCCCTAGTTCCTCTCCATACCTTGGTGGGATTTTCGAATTCTTTCATCCCCTTTTATAGTCAGTTATATTCAGGGTTGGCTGTTTCATATAGCCTTGCCTATATGTACTTCTCGAGCCATGAGCACCGAACCTGTTGCAGGTCAAGAAGAAACTACCGTCTTCACCCAAAGAGAACGCCAAGTCATTTTTTGGTGCAACTTTCAGTCCAGATACAGCAATAATTACCAGGTGTTCTATTCGGGTGAAGACGGTAGTGAAAGTACGGATGGCCAAACAACTCAGGTGTTTGGGGGTAAGGCTTGGAGATCGTGGGGGTGGTTTAAAGTTTAGACCACCAGTACACGGCCCCGCCCTTGTGGAAAAATCTTTCATCACCTACGGTAGTTTCGGAGGCGCGGGGCTGCCGGAGCACAATGGCTGGCCACACCAGCCAAAAAAGACAAAAAGTGTGCCGCTGAGGGTTCGGCAACATTTGGCACACTGCGGAAAGCGGCCAGGCCTGGGTGTACTGGTGGTTGAAGCCTGAGTTAAATCTTATCCATTTGATGTCAATGGATGGATTACAGCTGCACACGTTTCTTACCTGCACATCAGGTTTCCAAACTCTTGTGTTGTCCCGGTCCAGACATCCACGCAATAATCGGGATCTCCTTGGACCTGCCAGATGTCTGTCCTACCGTCTTCTCCCGAATAGAATGTTTCTCCCGAATAGAAGGTACCATCAGTATGTCTGTATTTGGCACAACTGTCAGCCCAGATGCAGGGTTGGTCCGCTCTTGCGGGCGTGTACCGGCCCTTTCGCCTTTCTTGCCGGGTATGCGTTCCTTGCCTTTATTGGCTGGGATCCAGAGCCGGCGCTGTTACTTTGAAAAAATTAGAGTGTTCAAAGCAGGCGTGTGCTCTGAACATATTAGCATGGAATAACGCGATAGGACTCTGGTCCTATTTCGTTGGTCTTCGGGATTGGAGTAATGATTAATAGAGACGGTTGGGGGCATTCGTATTCCATTGTCAGAGGTGAAATTCTTGGATTTATGGATGACGAACTTCTGCGAAAGCATTTGCCAAGGACGCTCTCATTAATCAAGAACGAAAGTTGGGGGATCGAAGACTATCAAAAAAAAAAAAAAAAAAAAAAAAAAAAACATTGAAAAGTTCTATTTGTGTGAAGGCGGTAGTGACACACATATTTTTCGTTTGCCATTCAAGTTGAAGTAAACACACAACAATTTCAAAATTTACACAAAATGATATTAGCACTTGTGGCCCTTATTATCTATCCACTTATAGGCTGTAACATTATAGGGAATTGGCATCTGAGGAGCAACTTAGCACTTGAGGAGCGAGGTGTGACTCACTCTTGCTTTCTGTGGGGTGTCTCATTTGACCAGGTCAAGAATCTGGTAGATGTAATTCAGCCCGAGCAGAAGAGGACTCTTCTGAGCATTCTTCCACCATGGCACATGTATGAACGGTATCCTCCCAAGTTGTTATGAAGTCAGCATCAGAGGACATTCCCTCTCCCTCTCCCTCTGCCTCTCCCTCTCCCTCTCGCTTTCCCTCTCCCTCTCCCTCTCCCTCTCCCACTCCCTCGCCCTCTCCCTCTCCCTTTTCCTCTCCCTCTCCTTCTTACCTCCCTCCCTCCTGTCTCCCTCTCCCTGAAGCCAGCACCAGAGGACATTCCCTCTCCCTTTCCCTCTCCGTCTCCCTCTCCCTTTCCCCTCTCCTTCTCTCTTTCCCTCACCCTTGCCCACTCTCTCTCCCTCTCTCTCTCCCTCCCTCTTCTTTCTTCCATCCCTCCCTCTCTTCCCTCCCTCCCTCCCTCCCTCTGCCCTCTCTCCCTCTCCTTCCTCACTCCTTCCCTCCTCTCCCCCCTTTTTACCGATCGGCTCACCTTTTCTCCGGTTCTGCTGCCTTAGCACGATTTCTTCATGAGTATCAGAACTCAGAATAACTTGACAAGTGGGGAAATGTTTTTAATCATTTTGTTTTGAAACTGTTGATTTTTTTTTTTGTAAATCTTTGTGTTGCATTTCAGGGCATATGATGTTATCTAGGCATGATCGCATGGCAGATGAGTTTAACTTAACACCAACAATTCAATCTAAACATCCGGTGCTGTTGGCAGCAACTTCTTCTTGCATTCTCTGGTTTTGGAATTGGGATAGAATTCGATGAGATGAGGAAGCAGGAGAGAACAAAACGAAAGAAAAAAAGATAAGGAAGCAGAAGGCGCCGACAATTGAGAAGAGCTGCTGAGCAGCACGGGCTGTGAGACTTGAAAGAGCATTTGCCTGACGTAATTATGTTGTCGTGTTCCCAATTTTCTTCCTTCCAATTCTGTCCTCCTGTCCCTATCTTACGATGCCATCCCAACGAGCATTTGAGATTTAAATTTTAAATTTTTTATTTAACGTCATTTTATCACAGCCATAAATTTTTCCTATTCCAGACCTTTAAATTAGCTCTGCAGAGTATTTTTTCATGAGTCATGGAGGGCGCCTGGTGTACAGCAATGTACAGAATTTTAAGGTTAGTGTGAAGAATTATGAAATGTGACAAGTGTCAATGTTGAAGTTGGAAGTTTGAAGTTTGAAGTTTAAATTTGGTGTTTTTTTTTCCTTCCTTTTTTTTTTTTTTCAATAAAGAAAACAGGGTCTTGTTGTCCTCAGGGACTTTTGTTAAAATTGGAACGATACAGAGAAGAGTAGCATTGCCCCTGCGCAAGGATGACACACAAAAATCAAGAAACGTTCTGAAATTGTCCAACTTTTTGCTAAGAAAAAGAAAAAAGGGCAGTATGATCGCACAGTTTGAGGTTGTGTGTCTTTTTTTTTTTTTTTCTTTTGAGAAAGGGCGACAGCTTTGAGATATCATTCATCGAACTGACCGGCCCTAGGTAATTCAGAATTGTAATATTTTACTCATCTGCTTCCACTGGGGTTTGAACTTCGAACTCAGGTTTGTATTTCAACAGTTCAGGGGTGTACTAACTGAGCTAGGCCAGTTGCTATTTTGAGCCTGTGTCTACTCTCTCTCTCTCTCTCTCTCTCTCTCTCTCTCTCTCTCTCTCTCTCTTTTTTTTTTTTTTTAAGCTAATACGGTACAACCTCGATCATTAAAGTTGATGAAAATGATTTGAAGTTCGAACTCAAGATCTTATGTATGTTCCATTCTGGCAGATGGGAGCGGTATGTAAAACCAATTTCTCTTGGGACTCCGTAGATTGTTTGGATTTTACTACTTTGTGTACTTGCTACTTTCTATAATTATAGTACCAGCAATTCGCTTGAGCTAACTGGTTCGGAAAAAAAAAAAAAAAAATAGAAAACACAAACCTGATGATTAACGACTTGGAAGCTGAGTAAACAAAGAGAGGAAAACAGAAATCAGAACTTCTAGCCTGTGTAGCATCGTGTACGTTCGGGACCGAACGCGAACGAGCGCCGAAACTCTCTGAACGCGAACATAAAAATATATATATATAAAACAAAACAGTTCTCCAAAAAATCTGAAAAAAATATATGTGATGTAAAATAATAATACAAACAACTTTTGCCTTGGAGTTATGCTCAAATTCGTAACCAAACTCGAGTTAAAAATCAAAAACCAAAAAACAATTTTTTATTTTTAAGCTTCACTTTATTTAATTTGACAAAGAATTTCCGCTTCCAGGAAGCCGCCGTTAGGCGCGATCACCAAAAAACCATTGACGCCAGTCGTAATTAATTATGATATTTTTTTGTCGACAACCAGCGAAGCTGTTTTTATTTGAGTAATTACACCTATTCCGGATGAATCAAATCATATTTGATTTGACCTTCGGAAAATCCATATACCCTTCAAATTCACAAATCCCATTGGTTGAAAAGAATCACAGACTTAGTAGACGCAAAGTGAGTGGCTTGCCGCTTTCTTTCTTTCTTTCTTTCTTTAATCAAGATATTTAGTTGGATCGCCACTATGTGGGGAGGTTCAATACAATATGGATTGCTGCCTATAAGATGCTAGCGCCTAATCCAGGATCCCACGAAGGATCCCACGAAGGCGCGAAGCTAGCGTCTAATCCAGGATCCCACGAAGGATCCCACGAAGGCGCGAAGCTAGCGCCTAATCCAGGATCCCACGAAGGGAACACGTTCGGGTGGCGTTCGGCCGAACACCTTCGGTGTGCTACACAGCTTCTAGCATGTATGGTGGGGTTGAATATGATTGTGTGAAAATCTTGATGCTCAACTCTGCCTTCTCTACCAACGCTCCCCGCCAACGACGGCTGCATTCTGTTCAAGTGTACATTGAAAAATCCTCACCTCTCCTGTCTGCTTTTAGCCCTCATCTTATTTTCTGGATATTAGGGCGCCGTTAGACACTCCTCGGGGGCGTGATTCCAAATATTTCGTCTTCATTCCACCTGTGCTCGGAGATGAAATCGGAAATGAAAATGTGAAAACACTCTGAGGACAAATCCTTGGGCTCCGAGGATTTCCCAGCCAAATCGTCCTCGGCTCCAAGGGACCTCGCGAGGTCCTTTGGGGCCCGAGATTCTGTGTTTCATGGAGAGGAGAGGGCATGCACGTAGAGAGACGTTACAACCGAGAACTCGGATCGTGGCGGCACCCTATTGGCTGAAAGCCTGAAGCACAACTTTTTTTCTTTTTTTTTTTTCCCTTTTTTTTTCTGACATTGCTCCGAGGATGAGTCTAACGAAGACGGCAAAAACCCTAAAGTTTTCCGAGGATTCATCCTCGGACGCCCTTAAACTGATCATAACAGATACTACACTTTATCTATTTTTAGCCAAAAGGCCGAGAAAGGTATTTTGTGAGTGTGTTGTCATATTCGCGTTACACAACTCCACAAAAAAAAGCACGACTGTGCCGGACTGTTTCATCAGACTTTCACGGACTCAGCAGATGTGTGTGTGTGTGTGTGTGCGTGTGTGTGTGTGTGTGTGTGTGTGTGTGTGTGTGTGTGTGTGTGTGTGTGTGTATTGAGTTAACAGAGTCTACTGTCATTGACTTTGCTTGATTTCAAATATCTTGAGAAGGAGCATCTGTGGAGAGAGTGCTCTTTAACCACCAGTACATTTCCCAGCCATTTTTTTCGCCGATGCAGTTCCATGCACGCCGCGTCTGTTCAGATACACTGGTTGCCATTTTGCTTGGAAAACATCCAGATAAACAGGACCACAGCGTGACTCATTTCGCCTGGATGTTTTTCCAAGCAAAATGGCATGTCGGTGAATCCCCCAGATGCGTGTGCCGCGCATGAATCCACGTCGCAGAAAAATGGCTGGGAAACCTACTGGTGGTTCAAGAAGGGATAATGAAAAAGGGGAGGGGATGTCCTGATCTGCTAAAATGGGAGTTGATCTTGGCAGTCGTCTTCGGCCATCGAGTTTACGAAACCCGTATGAAAGTATCATTTGTGTACTTGTGCGTGCTGGAGTATGCTTGAGCTTACCTCAGCAGCGATGGGGTGAGGCGATTGTTCGACTTGTGAACATCCCTGACATCCATCCATTCCGACGCACCAAACCGTACACGAGGTCCTCGTATTGTTGTTGTCTGTTGTGCCTAGTGATGCAGCAGGGTGGGAGCTGGCAGAGGAGACATCCACGCATGACCCATCATTCTCTTTCGATGGTCACAGTTTGCAGGTCACTTATGACAGAAGAGGACCATCCTATTCTCATTGCTCTGTCACAAGCAGAACATAGGAGCATTTCCATCTTTCTTCACCTGCCCGCAGGTCACAGTTTACACGTTTTTTTTTTTTTTTTTTTTTTTTTTAATAAAAAATGAAGGCCACGCCCCTTCTATTCTGGGGGGCAACAGTCCTGTTGCTTATCACTGGCAAACAGAGTTCAGGTTCAAACTTCAAATGCAAGAAGAGTGAGGAAAGGCCACAGTTTGCAACTTTGCGGCGTTTGCGCGTTTTGTTGTGCCACCTTTGTTTGTCTTTGTTAAAGTTTGTTTCTTATTTATAGTATGTTTCAAAATTGAAGAATGCCGCAATGAAGAGGTAACAAAAATCTAAGGAAGGGAAGTGAGAGGGGGTTGCATTTGTTTTCCTTTTTCTGGCAGGCTGGGTGGGTGAAGGATGTAAATAGCGTGGTGATGTATGAACGGACAAAACTACCTTCTTCCCCTGAATACAACGTACACCGTACGATCATTATAGCTGTATTTAGACTGAAAGATATAATGACCGCACGTTATAGTCGGGGGAAGACTGTAGCCCCATCAATCTCCACCTGGCTATCTGCCTGTCAAAGTGCAGATCATGGACTTGAGGATCTGCAAACTGAAATGCATCCTGACCAGGCTGGTTTTGCCATGTCCAAACCCTGCTCGGGCTGTTTCTAGAGTTTTCCGCTCTCTCGTTTTTGAAGTTCTTTCCCCTCCAATTAAGAATGGAAACAATTTTGATCCCAAGATATTGACCGGGGGATTTGCGTGCCGTTCTTGACTCTGACCAGAGGGCAGAAGCAAAGAGTGTGAAAGCACGGAAGGCGACTGGAAGGGAAGGACGAGGTTTTGATATGCGAAATGGTTTTGGTTGCAGGATGACTTAACAAGATATCCCCCTGACTACTTCGTTGCCGTTCCCCTTGTCTTCGATGTGCTCTACAAGTAAGGATCCAGAATCTCTCTCTCTCTCTCTCTCTCTCTCTCTCTCTCTCTCTCTCTCTCTCTCTCTCTCTCT